CTAAAAACCTACAACCCATGTAATGTACTTTGGTCAACCATGGCTCAACTTAAGATGCAAAATTATAATCCTGTGGTGCAGAACAAATAATTTTAACCAAGGGCTTCTTTACTACTGTCCTTCTCATTCATGTTTTGACAAATATCATTAAAACAGTTTCATAACTTTCTTCTAACAGAGCAATAAACTCCCATGCAGAGGATTTTTCCTGGTGACAAATCACTACCTGAGTGGACTCAATTTACTGAGGTTTTCCAATTGCTGCAGCTAAAATCTGCATGATGCTATTTGCCAAAAAAGATCAGAAAATTACAGGTATTTTTAAAATACTTCAAATATTAATTACTTGTAATGCCCAAAGTSTGCAAAGTGGGTTGAGACCAGTGGGAAACTGTATGAGATCCCTTAAAATCCCATAAGGGAGTCCTGAGCACATCAAAACCATGAAGATTCATCAAAAGAATTCAAGCTGTCAAGAGMGCCTTCTCAAACCATTTCTTTTTGTTTCATTTAATGAAAGGAATTAGCTCATCCTAGCAGATACTGTTATCGTTTTCCCTTCAATTTAGCTCTGTGCAATGGAACAAACCCATTTTCCTTCCGTGGTGCTTCCTGATGCCGTTGCAGGCAATGCTCTATCACCCCCCTGAAGGGAAACCCTTGGGTATTTCTGAAAGCCTGATTTCACAGAGCTATTTGTTGAATAAAATCTCTGCTGAAATACCCAGTCCATTGCTAATAACTTCCATGAGTTGACAAGTTRGGCCCTATTGACCATAAAAGCCCTGCTATTCAAAACTATTTCTACATGGGAGATGTGATATGCTGGAGAGATAAGTAATAAGTTCCTGCAAAATTTTAGCAACCTGCAACCACATTTTATGTTTTTCAATCCTTAGTTTCTATCAGGCAAACAGAGGTAAAAAACATACCAAATATTCCCAATATCTACACAGAACATGGTACTTTAATTCCCCTTTAAACAGAGTTTGTTATAGACATTTATATATGTCTATATGTGGTTACATAGACCACAAGATACATCAAAGCTACCCAAACTAGTTAGAGAGTGGCTTAGTCATATTCTTAGTCTAATGCTTCTTAATAAGCTGCAAATTTCTCACGTCTTGGTATTTGCTGCGTACCAGGAATCTGTGCATTGRCGTGGGTGGAATATCTGCTGCCAGGGGAAATCCATTATAACCCATCACAAATTCATCTTTACCACCCCCTCCRCCAGCAATTTTCTGTTATGCTACACATTTCTTCACTGCCAGTATTTAATTTATTTCTAAGGCATTTCAGCTTGGAAACTATGTGTTTTTGCACCTGCAAGTAGCTCCTTTCAGAGAACAAAAAAACAGTCTTAGTCTCACATTTTTAGTTCATAYCAACTATACTCACAGATTTTTATCTTTCTTGGGCTCTTTCGTAAGTTTTAATTATTTTGATGCCTTTCCTGGGAATATAAAGAAAGATGAAGAATTAAAACCACAGATTTCTGGTGAAATTTCATAACTTAAGCATTACAATATTAACTCCTTTGCAAGAAAAACTTGCCTGGCCAATATATTTATATTTACATGTGCCACAGCACACAAAGCATTTCCTGCAAACCTTGGCACACGATTCAGGGCTCAAGGAATGAAACCTTTTCCATGAGATCCAAAGTAGACATGACCTTCATTTTCCTAAATTGGGGTTTTATTTTTTAAAAAATAGGACTTACATTTCTGAATGGCAAGGTTGCTTTTAAGTTCTTTTTCCTCCTGTTTTCCATGCATCTAGGGTCAGAACTCAGTTCCCGGATGTTTTCAGCATCAAGGTTGCTCTTTTCACTCCTTGCAGATGGATCAGTGGGATAAGGATCAGCTTGAAGACCCTCACSCAAACACACCCTTGCAAATACACGTGACAAAAATGTGACCACGTGCAGAGCTGCACTGTAGGAAAGACCTCCATACAGTATGTTTATAYGTTGAACATTATTGCACATGCTCTAAAATGACATATTGCAAATTGAATCGCTTGGTTCTGCRAGCAGATTCAGTGAAATCCCTTTCAATCAGGCAGTTTCTCACCTGCCAGAATCAGCAGAATAGCTCCCAGCTGACATACAGGGGAAGATTTGCTGCTTTCTTCCCACTCCRTGCTCTGCTCATCCCACACCTCTAAGCCCCAGAAATCCTGCCTTGGACCTACACATTTGGACAAGGGGGAAATCTCTTTGCTAGGACAATTTGCTGACATTTTGATGAGTTTGATCCATGCACAGAGTCCTTCTGGGAAGGTGACACATTGAACCTGGCAAGGACAGGCAGGAGGAGCAGGTAGGATCCGACTCCCCATTTCAGCAGCAATAGAAGCTGTGAAGTGCATTCACCCTGCATTAAAATAAGCAAATAAATGAAAATCACACTAACAGCAGGCAGATATTTAGCAGCACTCAGACCTTTAAGCATCCACAACAGCAATTTGCACCTACACAAGGTAAAAATCATCTCACCTCCGCTGGGGCAAGTTCTGTGCACGATATGCTCGTGGGCACAGAAATAGCTCTTCAGCTTGGCTAATGCCTTCTGCCTACTCCTAATCAAGTCAAATTAAATAGATTCTGTGCATACTTCTTACCAAATAACATAATTTGCTCTTTACATAGAGTTTTTTTGTTTTTTTTTCCCCAGAGAGACTGAAGATATTCTCACCATTTGCTTTAAGTAACCTATTCTGCCTTTGGTTTAGTGGGAAGAGTCCAAATGCTCCACAGGGAAACTCAAACCACATGCTCCAAACTGCTGGTGGAAGACTCAGGAKCAACTACCAGCATAAGAAGAGGCACCTAAAATGAGGGTAACCCTTCAGCCCTCTTCCAGCATGAAATCATTTACATTACCAAAAACTTAGTCCATGCTGTTCATGTTTAAAATTTAAAACCAGAATACCACATGCACATATTGATAAAAGCACAAAGTATTTAATGATTTTTGCAAAACCCCTAGAGAATATCAGTGCTGCTATTGTCAAAGGTCCTTAGGTACCTGAAAACTCATTGAAAACTTTGTACTTTCTACAAACAGAAATGAAGGCCAGCCTAGGAGTGCCAACATACCTTGAGTGCCAAGCAATCCCTTTCTAGCTGGGCCCTCCATAAAGTCACACACAGGTGGAACTTGGGGGTTTTTGTATGGTTGTTTGATGTCTATATGACCAGAAATTCCCTTCTGCTTTTATAAAGTGGAAAAACAAGCCTAAAAATTATTATAAATAAGAAATGCAAGAGAGATTTACATCCTTAAAAGATGCAAAGTCCACGCTTACCCACTCACTTCTGCAGATAAGAACACAAATTAAATCTCCCCAGGAAAATATAGTTTTTTATCTGAGAGAATTCAACAGCAACAACTCAGAAAAGAGTAAAGTGCATCTTCCTACTTACACTGAGCCTGTGATATTGGTAAGGATAAACCAATTAAGCAGTATCTGTTGCTTCTACTGCAGAGAAAAGCCAACCACATGCAGCCACAGACTAGGGCCATTCCAAGATACTGGTCAACCTGAGTCCTGTCCAGACCTTTAAAGCTTTTATCCTTGAGAATGAAGATACAAATAAACAACAGAACAAAGTTAAAGTTTCTGAAGCCCTTAAATTGCTCTGAAGGTGCTTGGACCCTCTTTTTTTAATAAAAGGTTAATGGAGAGAATGGGGGCTAGCAATAAGAAAACAGTGTGAGGGCAAGAGAAATGCCACAGTTACTGTAATGTAATACTAGTTATTGTATGAACATCTTGAGCTCTTCCTCCATTTGCTTATCCACAATGGACAAAACACATACTCCCTTTTATCAGGGGAATGATATGAAATAGGATTCACCACTAGTCAGATGGGAAAAGCAAATTGCAATGGTCTAGCAGAGCAAACTTACTAAAAATTACCAAAATAGAGTCCTGTATTATGTTTAGTTTTAACTTTTTAAATATTTTAATTTAATAGTGCACCAAGTGATAGGTCTTTTTGGCTCTGCCAAACTCAGCACACAGCTGCTCCCCTATCCCCAACAGGGCCCTCCTGCTATCACAGCACCCAGACATCCCTCTGCAGCCACCCAGCCCAGTACCGTGAGCCCATCCATTAAAAACACTGGATTTTCCATGTGYGGAACAACAAACCCAAGGCTGTCGGCTGCAGCTCTCCCTCCCGCCCTCTGTGCAAACACTCCCAGGACCTGTGACGGGCACTGCCTTTCACTCAGCAGGTTCAGGGCACTTGCTGCACACGCTGCTGCTTTCACCAAGACTATGACTGGCTTTCGATACTCACACACGCTGGAGCAATAAAAAGCAACGTGAATCAACAACAACATTGCAAAAGGGTCAATCAAATCGGACCCAGGCATCTCCCCAGGCTCTGCAGCACGCAGGTCAAAGCAAAATAGGTTTTTCCTTCCTGGAAATAAAGCCCAACTGCAGTCATGATTTCAGAGCAATTTGCATTGCTAGTTGTTTGCTCTGATAACATAACTAAAACATTTAAAGCTGACCCAAAAAATAAAAGTGACTAATACCTTTACTGTTTACATTTTTGAATAAATAACTTTGCATATCAATTAAATACACAGCTAAAATGAAAGAATATATTAAAARCATGAGAATTCCTTACCTAAAGGAAARGAATATATTTTAAAAAAATATTTAGTTATCTGAGAAATAAACCTAACCCTTTGCCTCTAGCCAAAGAGATCTAGGGCACCAGGGGCRCAACATCACAGGTAGGACACCCTAATATCCTACTGTAGCATCAAACACCGTCCCCCACTAAATCTTACAGACCTCCTGGTGCCTCCAGCAGCAGCAGCAGCTCCTCCACCCTCCAGCAAACTCATACTGAGCAGAACTGAAGGTCCCAGCTGGCTGCAGGGTAGTTATAGACCTTAACTCCTCCCAGGTGGGCTACAAAAGCCTGAGTCCTGCAGGTGCAGCTCAGTAACACTCTGAGTTGATGGCCTTGATGCTCTCYAGCTGGTTCTTGGGGAGCAGTAAGGGGAGTAGTGATTGCCTCTGCTGCAAGCAGAAAAGGATCTGGGGAAGAACCTGCTGAGGAAGCCACTGTGTATAGAGCAAGTCCACAAAAACGTGAGTAGCTTCTATATGTTTCCTCTGCTCTTTGAACAAGCAAGGTTTCAGTTTTCTAAGGCTTACCTGAATGCCATAAAAATCAAAATAGAGTTGGTTCAGAAAGGGGCTTAAGGAAAAAGCAAGAAATGTGATGCGGCAGCCAGTGTTCCTTCATGCTGCAGTCCTTCCTGCAGCAGTCACGGATGGCTGGGAATAGGACTGCGGTCAGCAAGAAAATTGCATCAATTTGTAAACTTCCTTGTTCCCCCTCATGCTCTCTGCGTGGTGAAGCTGTCCCAAGGGGAAGTGGCACATTTGCCTYGCTCAGAAGCAGCACTGTGTTGAAACACCACGTGGGGGTGTCTGCAGCAAGTGCCCTAAAGTCTTTTCTAATGTAAATTCTTCCCCCTAAATGGGGCAAACATGAGGTTTTTACTATGGTCTAATACATTTAAAGTACCTCAGCTGGCTCTGTGCTCCCACATGGGAAATAGGCTGGGAGGAGGGGTATTAACAGACCTTAAAAGATTAGGGATTCTTTTCATTTGTAGCCCAGCTGTTCAATTTTCTGGAAACTCCTAGATCACATTTGGAAGTATTAGCTACAAGCATGTGGAATGGACACTTTGCTCCTCCTTATTTCTTAATAAATCTGAGCTGTGTGTGTAATGACTTTTTTCCAAGGGATCAAGATTTTAAAAACATGAGACACGGTGAAAATTGGCAATGGTCTAGGTCAGTGTCTGGCTTAAAAGTGTTAAGGAAACTATTTTCTTGTCTTGTTTGTAAGGGAATTGCAGACACCAATTCCTTCAACTGTAGAACTGCAGAGCGGTAGAGACATCAAGCATATTTCAATCTTAGTCTGAAATAMTTAGTCTCACAGCTGATAACCAAAATTGCTCTGCAATAAGTTGCTTATACAAATTTGCATGCTTGCCTCTGATACCAGGCTCTGCATGAGAGCCCTCAGCTTATTTGCACAGCTCAGTGTTCAGGGGGAAAAAAACAAACTTAAACAAAACAAATCCACTGTTTTATTTAAACACTACTATGCAGTGAGCATTACGCAACTGCAAGCTCGGGACTAAAAATGTATTTAAATGTGGAGATTATAGCTYCTCCTAGATGTCACGCCCAAACATATTGTCCATCCCACCTGCAGAGTCTTCCTGRCCCAGTTAGAGCTTGGTGCAGGCAATGTGCACAGAAGCAAACCCTGGAAAAGAAGGAAAGATGTCTCAGCTGCACATCATGTTGGCTTAATATGAATAAACCCTTCCTTAGTCAACACTAAACAATCTGCAAAGACAAGCAAGAGTGATTAACTTATATCACTATGGAAAGAACCTCCATGGATTCAAGATTTTGGGAAAGAAGAGGCAATTTCTGCTTTGCTGGGACATTAGTCCATTTGGACACAGCAGGCAGACTTCCATGTGACCAGATTTAGTGTCTGTCCTTGCCATTGTTGGCCCCCAAACAGCTCACGTGGTGGAAGGAGAAAAGCATGAATAACTGGAGAAAAAGTGTTATGCAGAAAACAAAGAACCTCTTGACCTGGACCTTAAAAATTAAGAAGGAAAAGACAACGTGTAATGATGAAAACCCTTCAGGAAGAGCCTCTGCAGGGCAGATCATGGGCTTGTGTGGAAGGTGCTGGGTGGAAACCCCCATCACTTCTAGATCACTACCAGACCTGTCTCTTCTCGCCTTCACCACTACTAGAAAAGAGGAAATGAGAAATGGTGTTTGGTGGTTAGACTTGGGAAAGAGAGCAGCCAAATCCTGTTACGCAGCGGGGCTYTGAGAAATGGAGGGTGGCAATAACTGCCATGCTGTCCTCTGCTCTCAAATGATGCTTCTGCGTAAATAGCCATCCTTGCATAAGCCAAGTACCTGCTGTTAGCATCATTACCAGGCTCACGCACCTTTTTGGAAAGCTGTTTCCTAATAATCTAACCCTAAAATCTCCTGAGACCTAATTTTTAATTTCCAATATCTATTTTTTTACTTATATTTTGCTGCAGTTTATTTCCTCACTTTGTGGCATACACTCACCAAATACCTTATGATCACATCTCTCTTTAGTGTTATTGTGCCCCATGCCACAAATTGAGCAGCCTCAGATGATGCACAGAGTTTTGATGGGAGCATCCAAGACCACATCCAGCTGCAGAAGGCACCAGCAGCTCATGGTAGAGCACTTCCCTCCTTGCATTTTTGGTATCCAAGCTGTTGGTGCCTTAGCAAGGGCTGCGAAGGTATCGTGTTGTCTATTCTACTACCTGAGAAAGGAAATGTAAAAACAAAGAGCATTATACTCAAGATAATAGCAATAAAACAATGAAATCCATTGTGTTTTACCATTAACCTGCTAAATGCTGTTCAACGGTGCCTGGTTTTCACCCTTTCTTGATTCTACCCCCTGTACCATGTGCTGATAAAGCCCTTGGAGCTGCATTAAGAGAAATTCTGATGGAAGGCACCTCCTAACTGCAAAAGCAGTTAGTTAAAGCAAAATGACCGAAAACCATCAGCTGATCCATGACTCACTGAACAACAATATAAAGTTCAAATGTGCCCGGGCCTTCYGCCGGTTTCACAGGCCATAATGTGAAATCAGCGGCTCTGTTGCATAGAGAATTATMATTGTAGGATACTCTAAATAATTGAAATGTAATAGCAGTTAATGAGTGGCTTCAGTGTCACGTTATGCACAAGGCCACAAACTCAGTGGGCTCTCTCTGGCCACTTCCTCACCATTAAAACCCCAGAGAACGTGAAATTAAATTAAATACATTTSAAAGCACTTTCTGTTTTGCCAAACTGCCCTGGCAATGCTGAAATGAGGAAAACTGCTTGGCTGCAGCTCGTTTCTGCTTTTTTCTGTCTCAAACTAGTTTTAGTTTTGTTTTTATGACATGACATTCATGAATCAGTGGCGCATACAAAGCTCCCCTTTGCAAATGCCTCAGACCTCTGTGTTACAGCAGCGAACACCCTTTGAAAGATGGGACCTTGTGCGATTTATTTTCRGCGTTTCTGTCTGTTCGACAATATTCTGGGCCAAAGGAAGACGCATTTATATTTTTTTCCCATTAAAAAAGCGCTACAAAGAATGTGCATTTGTACAAGGTATTTCATATCTTAAGTTTTAGCCTGAGTAATAGGGAATTGAGCCACAACCCCTCCATCCTGCAGCCTTCCCCTCAGGATTATCATCAGCTGGAGCTCCYAGCTGCTGGCACTTCTGCTTCAAARCAACTTCCATCTCTCCACATAATTAGCAATTATCRAGGCTGATTTATGTGTATTTTGTGGGTTTTGGGCTCTGCTCTTGGGCAGATTTTCTTGGGAACGTTTGGGGTGTCTAAGGGCTGCTTTGGGAGGCTCTAGAGAGGCACCAGGGAAGTGTTTTTGAACGGAGCCAGCCACACTTTGGTAGAATTTGGCTTTTTTKGGGGGGATGGCCCCACAGCAGCCTTGGGCCAGGTTGTAGCTCTAGGGTCTTGAAGCCTCCAGGGTCTCAAAAAAAACGCAAGTTTGGTAGTTTCGGGGCCGCTGCGGGAGGCTGAGGCCGAGGACGTGAGCGTGACGGCACCTGAGCAAGCAGCGGAGTCACCCGCGTGTGGGGACACTCGTGTTCTTGGGGCGCTTTGGTGGCGTTTTGGGCTCTACCCCGTTGTCACCCGCCTGTGGGGACACTGGGACGGGGGTTAGCCCCGTCCCTGGGCGCAGCGGCCGCCATGGGGRGGAGCGCGGGCCTCCGTGGGGCCGGGCCCCGCCGCAGGTGAGCGCGGGGCCGCGGCTGCGCCCGGGGGCGGAGCGCGGAGCGCGGGGCCGGCCGCCCGCCCGCCGCCTTCCCCCGCCGCCTTCCCTCGCGCAGAGAGCCGCGCTCGCCGCCGCCGAGCCGGAGCGCCGCGGGGAAGCGGTGAGTGAAGGAGGG